GCATGAGACATGTCTTCGTGTTGCTTCTGCAGTGATGATGCAGAAACTCCACTTAGAATGATTGTTGGAGGTACGAAATCTGCAAAGGTAGAGAAGGGAGGAACTTGAGAGGAAACAAGAGGAAAAGAAAGTTTCCAAGAAGAAGGGGACATGTCTTCATAGAAGATCACGTCCCTTGACACAATGTCTCTTTTTAGGAGAGGATCCCACATTAACCAGCCCTTACTTTCCTTGGCCATGCCCAGATGCATGCCCCATGCTGCCTTACTTTCAAACTTGCTGCGTTTGTCATCTAGCACTTTGTACTGGCCCATGCAGCCAAATACTCGCAGCATGGACACATTTGGCTTTATGCCATATAATGCCTCATAGGGTGTAATACCCTCAGCAATGGAGCTTGTCAGTCGACGATTCTTGACCCAAGCAGCATGTGTAACAGCTTCTCCCCACCATGAGTCATCCAGATTCATGTGGGAAAGAAAACCTCTTGAGATCTCTTGAATCGTACGGTTGTACCTCTCAGCGGTACCATTTTGTTGAGGTGTTGCTGTGCATGACAATTGCTGTTCAACTCCAAGGTTGGCAAGAAAAGAGCGGAAAGAGTTAGACATGTACTCTCCTCCACGATCAGAACGAAAAATTTTGACCTTGAGACCCAACTGACGCTCAATATAAGGAAACCAGGACTGGATAACACCGGGAACTTCATCTTTAGATCCAAGAAGAGAGATCCAAGCAAATTTTGTATGATGGTCAATGAGTGACATTACATATCTTTTCCCAGTACGACTTGGTGTACGGGAAGGACCCATCAGGTCACTATGAATGAGCTCAAGCGGTTGAGAGACTTCAGACTCAGAAGAATAGAAAGGATGACGAGGAAGCTTAGCCTCAACACAAGTGTGGCACGATGACTGAGATGATGACAACTGCTTGGAGATGATAAGACCATCAACACTTGCATGTGCTTGCATGCGTGTGATGCTAGACTCTTCAGGGTGACCGTAACGACAATGCCAGGTGTAAGGAGATGCAGATGTACCAGGATGAAGTCTTACTGAGGTGGTGGTAGCAGCAACTGAGGGACTGCTGTAGGGCTTGGCAGGTGGCTGTGCATCAATCTCCACTCGATAGAGACGTCCATTACGAACACCTCTTGCAATGTGATGTCCAGTTGGAGCACGAACCTGCACAGAACCATCTGAGAAAGAGATGGAAATACCTTTCTCTTCCATTTGACCAATTGAGAGAAGGTTCGCCCCTAGTGAGGGGACAAGTAAAATGCCTGAGAATGACATATGAATTCCCTCTGGACTGAGAAATGTCATTGTTCCCTCTGCTTGAACTGGCACCGAATGGTTGCTGGCAACAACCACTTCTTTCACATTGGAGGGCTTGAGGCTGTGAAGGAGGGAGGCATGAGGGGTCATATGTTGATCACATCCACTGTCCAAAAACCAGATCTTGGGATCCTGTGTAAATGCATGGAGACAAGAGGATGATGCAAATGCGAAACTCGGTGCATTCGATTGAGTAGAGTCTCTCTCATATGAAACGACTCCTATGGTGGCTTGAAGAGGCGCCTCTGGTGTGTGAGGTTGTGGCATAGAGGAAGCAGAGACATGGTTTTGAGATGAGACTTGGGAAGCATTCTGAAAGAATGCCCCATGATGCGCACTGTCTGGTTGATTTTCTGGAGGGGTATGGGATGTAATAGCAATGGCGGCCCTTCCTTTGTCAGAAAGCAGAGATGAAGGTGGTGTCCAGTTCGCAGGACGTATGTTGCACTTGAACCAAGGATGTCCCCATTTATGACAATAATGACACTCAAATTGATACCTTGACTTTGGCTTATAAGGAATATGATTAGAGTATGATGCAAGCTGAGAAATATGACTTGGTGTGGGTTGTCCAAGAAGAGAGTGTGTTGGGGTTTGAGAGGACTTACCTTGCTGAAACTTGCTCTGTTGTTGAACACTTTGTTGAGGGCGATAGTTGGAACTTGTCATTCCACTCCATGCTGGTCCAGGATTTCTCTGAAGCTTTGCAAGTTCTCTTGTCTGATGTTCGGTGATGAGCGTGTTGAAGATGAAATCTCGGGTCCTTGTCTCCTCAGGAAAGGCTTGAATGGTGCTTCTCATAGTGCTCCATCCAGATGAAAGTCCGGCTAGAAGAATGGTGATGAAGAGAGATTCCGGGACCTCAATGTCGAGAAGTGTAGCTTCGTAAAGGACCATTTCACCACGTTGTAAGTAGTCGGGGATGGACTCACTCTCCCCCATGCGGAGAGAGACAATCTTGTTCCACACTTCTGCCTTAGAACCTTGGGAAATAGGTTGATGAAGACGTTTGAGCCGCTCCCAAGCAGCTCTGGCACTGTCCTTTTGAGTTGATACGAGGAGGAGGGGTTGAGAGTAGGGGTCTTGAATGGAAGAGAGGAGATAGAGATAAGCTTCAGCATTTTTCTTGATCCAGTTGCTCTGTTCTTGATCAGGTGCAG